ATATATATATATATATATATATATTAAAAAAATCATTGATGTACTTCTCATTTAAAGTCCAATGGAAATTTGATATTTATCCAATATTAAATGTATGTGAATAATGCCAAAGCACGTAAACTAATGTGTTCTGTAATTGTGATCTTTAGTGTATTCATCCTTCATATTTATTTATTTCTGCCCAAAATAATTTCACTATCCTGATGTTACATACTTGTATATATCATAAACATATTATTCTTATTGAACCATGCAAATTGGTTTTACCTATATAATAAAAAGTGGATCAAACTCTATGTAATTCATCAATATGAGGATTTATTATCCCTTATTTCACTTCATTTAGGTTTTTGTAAATAATTGTGAAAAGGTTGTACATGCTTTCTTATAGATTTAGTAGATTTTGTTCTCTCAATGAGAGGAGTGTCCAGAAACTATAAGCAATGTAATGGATGAAGCTGAATAATTTGGAGAGAGGTTCATAAGTTTTTAAATGAGCTAAATACTAATGAACCTAAGTTAATGACAATGAAAGCCATTTTTGTGTTGCACATTGATAGTTGGACATAAAAATGGCCTTCAATTTACTTCTTTAGTGATAAGGGTAATTCTAATGATGGCCATCGCCATTAGAGATGTAACTAAACAAATTTGGCTCGTGAATTGGCTCAAACTCAACTTGTTAATGAGCTTACAAGTCAAGTTTATCAAATCACAAGAATTCATTTGAGATTAGATTATATAGTTTTTATAGTATGCAAGCTTCAACTTGAGCTTAACCTTGTTTGGATTGTTGCCTCATGAGTCAACTTGATTAATTGCTGCCATTAGATTTATGGTTCATAATATTTAGGTCAATTATTTACATTCTTTAGCAATATTCCATTATTGACTCATCCAACAAGCTCGCTATTTTTAATTTTTGAGCAAGCTCCGTCAATGCATTTTCTAGCGAGCTCCCACAATAGAGCTCGTCTCTATGTTCTTTAATGTGCTTTTGTCACTAACTCCTCCAACGAGCTTTTGCAAAACATCCTTCACTTAGCTCCTATATTGTATTCTCAAGTGACCTGTCATTGCATGATCCAGTGAGCTCCCATCGTTGACTTCAATAGTGAGCTCCCATCATTGATTTTGAGCTTCTGTAACACGACTTATCATTGTGTTATACAACTCATCTCATCACTAACTTCTCTAGTGAGTACCCATCACTAATTTAGTCTCAAGCTTCATACTAAGCTTCAGGCCACTAATTTTACATCGAATCAAAGTCATACTCAAACTTGACTTGAGCTCAAGCTTAACATTGAGCACTTAAATTGAGCTTATTTTTGCCTTGACTCGAGCGTAGCTTAGCTCATTTACACCCCTAGTCGCCCTCCCCTACTCGAGAGCCCTCTCAAGCAACACTCATACAGAAGAAAATAATATGATATGTCAAGCTATGGTAACCTTGATTGACTCTGTCCTTTTTGGCTTGATCCATTCTCAAGCTCCATCAATCTGAATATTGACACTCGATATAGTACCCAAAATTTTTTTTGGAATTGTTTATGCCATTCTAAGATTATATGTGGATTAATTCACTCAAATTAATTTAAATTGAGCTTGTACACATTTCTTGTTTACCATATTTAAATGGCAGTCTATCAAATAAGGTTTTAAAGCTTAAAATAATCACAAATTTGCTATATTTAATTGAAATTTCTTTAAATCTATTAATCAGTCAAAAGTTTAATTCAATTTTTAACCATTAAATATTGTATGTATGTATAGAATGTAAAGGAGGGAGAGGGAGAGAGGGGGGGAAGGGAGAGAATGATCAGAAATCAATCGTGTCAATCCTCCATTATTGATAAAATAATTCTCTTATTTATAGAGTAGAGGGTACATAATGATGATAATATATTTTTGCACATGCTTTAAAGGGGTTGATTAAGCGAAATTACCTTCGGGTTGACAAGATCAACTCGACCGTCTGAGATCCACTAGGCTAGCTGAGCTTAGTCGATATGTGTCAGTTGGTTGACATGTCTCGACTATCGACTCTTGACCCTATATGAGGAGCCTCTGCGAGTCCCTATGATGGTTGGAGTTGCTTGTAAACATGTTCTTCTCTTGAGTGGGCTCTTTTATGGTTGCAAGCTCAGATACCCTTTTATCTCATTTCTGACTGAGTGGCTCGTTCTTGTATATTCCAGTTGTCTCTGGCCGGCTTTGGCCTTGCTGGCTTGGCTCGGACAACTTCGCTCAGTCTGATATGCAAACTTCATTATCTTCTAACCAAACACTCGACG